CCCTCTCTCTCTCTCTCTTTCTCTCTCTCTCTATTATTCCTTTTCCACTGTAACAAAGCTTTAATTTTACCTGTTTTAATTATTTCAGTAATATGACATTTCACGAGTTTAACGGTTAAGAGATATGAAATTGCTGCTCGTGCTAATTTAATATTTCTCTTGTTTCCGATAATTAATTAAATCTTGTGTGTTAATTACATGTAAAAAATTATATATCGGAAAAATTAAATTATTTCGAATCGAACCCGCGGCGCAAATGTAATTAATTTATAAAAGTGAAACGCGGCCGCTGAATCGCAGATTTCTCTGGATTCGCGCGTTGCGCCACCAGTCAGCCTCTTGGGACGACGAAAATGACGATCTGTGCGGGGAGACACCAGCTTCAGTCAGGCGTCTTTAATTGGGATATCACTGCGACTGCACGTCTCTTTGCAGTGTATCGACAGCTTAAAAGTCTATTATCGCGGGCAAAACCGGCGCGATCGTCTGTCGTCTGGCGGCAAAGTGGTCGAACTTTCGTCGACAGCACTTCGGAAGCTGCCACACATCTTGCCGAGAGTTCCAACGAGATTCTATTGAATTCATGGATTCATGGGCTAGCCACGTCGATCATGTCGTTTCCCGTTACAGCTGTAAAGTTCGTGCGGAGTGTAGTGTACGGCGATACACCGGCACTCTCCTAAGTTCCGCAAAGACTGGCGAACGTATACGCTTCTCCGAATTATGTCGCGTCGACAGGCGAGTGAGTCGCGGGCGCTTTGTCTGTTTATCTATTCGGTTAATCGAGCTAAATACGCACAAAGCATGGGACAGAAACAAAGAAACATAGCCAAAATGGACCGCGCGCCAGCGCCGATCAGATTAGTTTTCGTTGCAACAGCGCGTGCGAGGAGTTGCGTCGATCTAAAAACGGGATATTCACGAGCGTTCGGGAAACACGTGGAAAATTGCGGAAACAATCCGCGGCTACTGAAAATCTCGTCGTGAAAAAAAAAAGTAAACGCGCCAGATATTTCAATCAACTCGCCGGATTGCGCGATATCGCTGCTCGCCAAAGTCGGCGAAATTGGATCGCACCGGTCGGATTCGGCAGTACCGATCGATCGTTCGTCGATCTCTGGACGGTCAGAGTACAAGCGAGGACAAAAGAGAAAGAGAAAGATAGAAGAGAGAGAAGAGTCGGGGACGTTAAAAATAATCTACGCGAGACGGAATAATCATATTTCACGATTACGACGCGGCGACGAAGCGCGCGGAAAATTGAAAAACGAGGTCGAATCAGCGCCCGGGATGGCTATCGAAAATTAGTTTTCGAATTCATTTGCTCGCCGAGAAAGTATATTTCATCGGCACGCGTGATGAATCGCAACGGCACGCTGTTACGCACCCACCCTTTCGAATAAACATTCCAATCTGTCGCGAATCGGCCCTCCTCGTTCCTCCTCAAGGGACGATAAAATATGGGCGATGCAGGAAAGGACGAGGTTCTCGCACGACAGTCGATTGATGGAAATATCTTTTATCGAATCAAATAACGCGCGACGGACGGAAAATAGTAATGGCTGTAAGTTAAAATCAGGTATAAAATTGTAGCAGTGCTTCTTGGAATACAGTCTTATCGATGCTATTGACGGCAGCTTTACGTTAAATACCGAATTCTTCTCACTCACGCGAAACCGTCATTTTTCCCGTATTAGGAATACTTTATCGAATAAATCGTTCTCGAGAGCTCGAATATATTAGTGCTGTCAGTTTCTATTACCCGGGTAAATTTATTTTGAAACTTATTTCAAAATAAATACACTCTCTTATTTATAAAATATAAATTGTTTTTTTCAAATCTATCGTCATATCTTGTACTGTCACTTCAGTTCCTGTCATAGCCGCAATTACTACGAATGGACATCAGCTTTGAAGCGCCGCAACTTTATCTGGTAAAAAGTGTGTAGAGCGTTTTGCGACCGTGCATACGTACCGTTGTAAAATTCCGTCGTGTCGTGGATAATTAACTTGTGGAGCGGCTTTAACGCGTCGCGAACGCGACGAATAATACAGGCAGGTCGCCATCTTTTCTCTCGGAGTAAACGCTGCAATCTGTCGTGACCGCCACCTCCTTTCTCTCCACCTCCCTCTTTAAATCCCGACTAAAAAAATGGGAATACGTATGCCGTTCGGGCAGGACAGTAAAAAAACGAACGAGATGGTTGAAGTACTACCACGAATGAAGGGTGAAGAGTCGGGAAGGGAAATGAGAAGGAGGAGGAGATTGCAGGGCGAGACGGAGGATCCCCGGCGAAACTCGACAATGGAGCGGATGATCCTGCAGCAGCAGAAACACGAACGGGCGAGTGGATGAAGCGAGACAGGAGGGACGACGAAGCGGGAACAATACTGGCCGGTATTATTTTCTGTTTGCTGCGTCAGACCAGCCTCCCCCGTTCGAAACCGGCGCTCGTCCACCCCTGATCTATCTCGGCACTCTGCAGCCCGTGATCTTTTGCGCGAAGCTCGCCGAACCGCGCTGAGGGGAGTTGAATCTTCCTTCCCTTTCTCTGAGCTCCTAGCAGCATTCCGATTTTTTTTTTCCACCACGTGATCTACATCGCTCGCGAGCGCGAGCAACCACATGAGAGAACCATTCACCTTTCTCTCTTTCTCTCTCTCCTTCTCCTCCCTTCCAGACGATAAATAATTTATGTCACGAACCGGCTACGAAATATTCCGAGCGCATCGAGAAAGATACGGTCACGCGATGTGTTAACGGCGAGAGGGGGATAATCGATTGCACGAAGAATCGCTATCGGCGCATTCAACGAGATCACGAATTTATGCGTTACTATGGCAGCGCGGTTAATGGATTTACTTA